GTGAATATTTCTATCAGGAAGGACCGAAAATTCTTGCATAGTTCGTTGGTCATTCACTGCCTTGTGGAGACGCATTTCCTTGCTATTGTTATAAAAACGTACACAAGCACGCAGATATTTGAAAAGAAGTATATAAAGAGCTTTTTGAATAGATTTCATCTTTCTCTCTCTCACACACTCTCTCTCTCTCTCTATATATATATATATATATATATATATAGATAGATAGATATATATATATATATATATATATATATATATAATACACACACACACACACATATATATATATATATATATATATATATAATAAATACACATATACATATATATATATATATATATATAAAAAAACACACACACACACACACATATATATATATATATATATATATATATATATATATATATATATATATATATATATATGACTTTTACATCACTTTACCAGAGTAAAACCTTCCAGGAACTAAATTAAAGCGACGTAAGCGAAAATTTTATTTCAGTTAGGTTGAACACACCTCGCCGGACACACACACACACACGCACATATATAATTTATACTACTGCTACTAAAATAATAATATTAGTAGTAATATTAAATAAACACACACATACACAAATACACACACACATGCATATATATATATATATATATATATATATATATATATGTCAAATATGTGGTGCAGTTCAATTTATATTACAATGAATACAAAAAGTAGATTAATAAAGTTAGTGATATAAAATAGCAAAGTCCTTTAAAATTTTGTTTGCGAAAGGATTTCGCCATTTTATATCATTAACTATACTAATCTACTTTTAGTATGAATGATTCATTGTAATATATATATATATATATATATATATATATATATATATATATATATATATATATGATGGGCTCTCCTGTCGTTTCAGACGTATGTGTCTTTCAGTTCAGTTTTTATGTTTATGTTTCGTATGATACAAAATTCTGCACGAGACTTGCAAACAAGTCCACTTGAGCGATATTCTGAGGGGTTGACCGTCATATTGGCTGATGTATTGGCCCCAAATTTATATATATATATATATATATATATATATATATATATATATATATTATAAAACAATAGGAATTATGTTTACCCCATAGTATTGATGATCATTATTTCAGCTTATAAGTTAAAACTAATTTACAAGCGAGTTGGGAACGACGAGGCTGATGTCGAATCTAACCAGATTCCCATCCGAATCACCAAAAGGTTAGAACGTCACATTTGGGTGCCGGGGTTAGGCTTAGAGTTGGTCGTCACAGGACGGGACAACACGACTGACGCAAACAGGCGGACGTCACGTTTGGAGCGGCGACACCCGAACGAAGCAGCGAGGAGCGAGCGAAGGCTGTGTTTAGGGACGTCACATCAGGCTTCAACGGGAGATTTAAAATTAACACAGAAAAATCTTACTTATTATAAAACGCAGATTGTCTGTGTGTGTATGTGTGTGTACGTTTATATATTGGATTGGATTTCCTATATTTTTCAACCGATTTCAACAAAACTTCACAGGACTACATAAAATTACCTTGTGGTGGTTCTAACAGCGCAAAAATGGGAAAAATACAATTGTTTTCGCACAAAATCAATTTGAAAACACGATTAAGAGACATCGTGAGAATGAAAAACTCACATCGGGTGGTTTGTGTGTGTGGGTTCCTTTAAATATGGGATTGGATTTCGTACATTTGTCAGCCGATAAAACAAAAATTCATTTTTTTTTTTGGCAGGTAGTGTTTCTTATTTTCTTGTACACTTTTTTCTTTATTTTTAATATTCACAATGCGTTAAAAATTCCATTTACAAGACAATTGTTTATAATAAAATTCTATTCAATCGGGAGACTCATAACGATTGAAAACAATGTTTTTGTTTGAGTTTGGGTTTGACCGATTCGTAAAAAACAAAAACAAAAAAAAAACAAATTAAGACATGCGTGTCCGTCAACCTTAAACAATAATCTTTGTCAATTTTATTTTTCAGTCTTTATGATGGTGGATACTTGATCTATCTCTTACTGTTACATCCCCGGGCAACGCCGGGCTCTACTGCTAGTGTACAATAAAAGGAAGTTGTGAAAAAAGAAATTATTAGAAAAAGGAACTAGAGGCAAATGACAGCGAGTTCCAACAAACACTCACGTTGCTTACACAAAGAGGGCTTACGGGACCCGATGTAAAGTGCCTCCAGAACCTTTAGATGAAATAAGGAGTGAGACCGGGACAACAAGGTGAACCAGTCAACACTAAATTTGGCTGCACAATCTCTGTTCTTTAACAGGTGTTCGCATATGGCGGAACTATAGGTAAATAGTAGGTTAAACCTTGTTCTATATCTTTAAAAGAAATGGCAACCTACTGCGAGAAAAAAAAATCTATCTCGTCAGACATGTATCGAAAGATACATGATTGCCTAAGCGTGTATCATGCATGGGACGTAACTGACTGACTGACGTGCTGATATCTTTGGGAAAGTTATAAATCCTCAGATTCTCCTACCCAGCTATGGGTAAATAGCAGGACAGACCGGGTTATATAGCTTTGGATGGCAACTGGTCTACAGCAGAAAGAAATAGCAACCTTCTGCGGGAAAAAAAATCTGCCTCGTCAGTCATGTATCAAGATACATGCTCGCCTAATCATGTATCCCGCATGGCACAATAACTGACTGATTGACGTGCTAATATTTTTGGGAAAGGTATAAATCCTCCTCTTTCCCCACCCCCAGCAATGGGTTAATAGCAGGACAGACCGGATTATATAGCCTTGGATGCCAACTGGTTTACAGCAGAAAGAAATAGCAACCTACGACGGGAAAAAAAATCTGAATATAAACATGCAAATATTCAGAATACTCATTCGAATACTGAAAGAGATTTTCGTTATTTTTTTTTACAAAGTGTTCACTTTGTATAAGGCCTAAGAGCCACTCGAAGTAGAGAGTTACAGACGGAAGATAACGGCTAACTTATTGCCTGTTCCACATACATTTTCCATCCTTTGGTTGTTTTTTTTTTTTTTTTTCACAATATCCAGGCAGCATCTTATATCATTCTTATATGTTTTTCTTCTGTCTTTCTTTGCAATCAAAATGTTTTTTTTTTCACAATGACAAAATATAGGAAAGCAGCGAATAATTATGGTCAACCTTATAATTTACTCTGACGAAGATATATTAAACGCGCCATAAGTGTTTTACCCGTACGATTAATTTGCAGTCAGGTTATTTCAGTTTATTGATTGCCCTTATTAAATTGGCACGGTGATAATACTAGACGCCTTAACGTTAATACCAAGGCTTCGACCAAATAAAAATAAATATATATATATATATAAATAAAGATGCAAAGCAGAGGTGTAGAAAATCGTCTAAAAGATAATTTTTGTAATGATGTTAGAAATCAAACGTTTGGCTACTTAACGTGAATCCTGTTCTTTCTCGCTAACGATGATTGTTCCTGTGAAATATAATTGTTTTTCTTTTCTGATGATGCCGATTTATCGGCGAAACGTATAAAACTATATTTTTTTTTTAAACTTGTTTCATATATATATATATATATATATATATATATATATATTTAAAAAATTTCTGCAAAATCCACTCGTTTTCTCTCTCTCTCTCTCTCTCTCTCTCTATATATATATATATATATATATATATATATATATATATATATATATATATATATATATACAATTTTGTTTTATATATATAAATATGTATAAATATACATGAAAAATATTCTGAAAAATTCACTCACTCCCTCACTCTGTATATATATATATATATATATATATATATATATATATATATGTGTGTGTGTGTGTGTGTGTGTGTGTGTGTGTATGCACATATATATAGTTTTTATATATATATATATATATATATATATATATATATATATTACATGAATCATTCATACAAAAAACAGATATAGAAGTTAGTGATATAAATGGCGAGAATACATCTTTGCAAACAAATTTAATAAAGTACATTAACCCCGAACCTGTAGATGAAAGTTATGATCCCTGTTTATAAATTCAAGTTGCATAAGGTCTTTTTAGTTTTTAACAAGCTTTCGTCTGTTCATACAGACATCATCAGGTATGGAAATAGATTTGTTCTTCTTTTTTATTTCTCCGTAATAACAGGACAACGAAAATATAGATTTAATCCGAAAAAAAAAAATGATACGGTGGGCGTTAAAGTCGCCGAACACGAGAGATGGTTTTGTCTATATTATCGAAAATGCTATCGAGTACACAACTGTCTTCAGAGAAAGGTGAACGATAGAGAAATAAGAGATAGCTTACTGAATTGGGGAGAGATAGACGGAGACTCATAAAAGAATAATTTGGAGATTCAAGAGAGAGTTTCATAGCCAGCGGGAGATGATCGCGGATAGAAGCTCCCAGGGCCATGAATGTCGGTTTTAGAGTACTTTCTAAAGTGAGGAAGTAATCGAGAAATCAGAAGAGGTGATTGAAGAGTTAAGGTTCGTCCCGCAAAGAGCTAGTATGTCAGGAGACTTTTAAAGAGAAACGATTCCACAGAAGGGAATGTTAAGGGATATATATATATATATATATATATATATATATATATATATATATATATATATATATATGGAAAAATATATATAAATATAAATAAATATATATATATGTATAATTATTTATATATTATATGCGCGGTACTTATTAGAAAGCGCTCAATATCAGAGATAGAAGTAACATATTTAGTTGTATAGATGTGAGTTTGTGACCCTGGGTTTCACGCTTTAGCGATCGTCAGACAAACTGATTAATGTTTTAAAAAAATTGGGTTTATGTAGATTGCGTGTATTGATGTTATCGTGGAAGCAAACATAGATGTATGCAGACACATATGTGTCTGCATACATCGATGTTTGCGTTAGTACGATGAATGACAAAACAACGAAGTTTCCCCCACCAC